CAACAGTGTCAGGACGGTGTTTTCATTGTGGTACACGATGCCACTGTCATGTCAGGGGAAAAGTTCATCTTGAGCTCAAAACATTCATCAACTCTGTTTTCCCCACGACTTGTGATGACCTGCAAAAAAAGATTTCTGATACAGGAGTTATCAGTTGATGTGACAAGAATACATTCATCTAACTGTTTAAACTATTTAGAATTATTTTGATGAAATTATTCATAAGTCATAGGCAGTTCAGATCACCCCTGGAGCAGGCAGCTTCACAGCTGTCAGAGCTTTTATTGTTCATGCAGCGTCTCTGTACATCACACTACCTTCAGGTCAGCCTCCTGCACCTTTCACTTTTATTTTAAGATACTTACCTGCCTTGATGACCCCTTCATTTTCCTGCTTATTATGACCAAAATAGGAAGAAATGATCATATTTCATTCGTCCTTTTGAATTCAGTTTTCACCATTTTAGAAAAACCTTCCCTTTCAAGGATACGTTTGTCTTACTTAGAGGAACTTGACATATCTCGTTTAGAGGAGAGGATTTTGCCGTGAACAAAATACCTTTAATAATTCTAGGAATTAATGTCCAACCATTGAAGTTTGGATTGTTTTTTTTCTCGCCAACTGCATGTAACGTGTTGGGGTCATTAACACGTCTCCCGTTTACTAACACTAACTTATTTTATCATGCTATGATGAATAGTTGTAGTACGCTGATAACATTCCAGATAATGATAAAGCAGTAAGATAAATGTGGGTAACCATGGCTACCAGTGACAGTTTAAAGACCGAGGGTCTTGTTCTGCAGACGAGCTGCGCGCGCACCCACTGTGTTTCTGAGCACACAAACAGAGTGAACGGACAGGTATGACCCGGTTGGTCTGCAGTTGTTCTACATTCTAAGAACTAAAACAAAGTGGGAACATGTTGTTCAGTTTGGTATGAATTCTGTCACACAGTCGCAGCACAGATACCTACTGCCAGGCCCTCCAATGCAGATATGCAGTCACACTACAAGTGAATCTGAGGACACAGAGAGCAGCACAGCAGCTCATGGGCCAAGTACCTTTTAGTTGAGTCTGCGTTCAAGTGCTCTGTTGTTCAGGATTACATTTGCTTGCATCACCGGGGTTGTCAAATTGATGAAGTTGCTTTGTTAATATGCAGAGTCCTCATCTATTTGCATGGGTTTTCTCAAGTTCAGCGCACTAAGAGATTTTGGCTATTAGGATTGTTTTTTGTGGAAATGCAGAAATATTCTCAGTGATTTATCTTGATTTATCTTGCACAGCAAAATAATTCACCTTTAATTCTTAGAGGAAAAAGGCTTTTGTTCACATTTGTTGAATACGTGTCTACAAGAATAGAACATAATATAAGGAAATCATATATTATGATCTTTTTCTTAATCTCTAGTTTTTTTCTTAATCTGTAGAGACAGTTCTCCATTCAAGTTTCTGATACAGAAGTCATAATAAATTTAAGTGCCTCACGAAACAAATAATTCATACATTTTTCATCACGCCTTATTTTGCTGGTGTCCAAAGAGAGTAAAAGCTGCCACAATTACTCATTAATGGGCCTGGTCTTTAAGAGCTTTGTCTCTTTGTTCCAGTCAGTGTGAACAATGAGACACTGCTGAGGTTTCCTTAACACGTTCTGGAGTGATTTCTGTGGTTGAAGCAAAGCATCAGACTGCTGATGCACTAAGATGTTCATTAACCCTCTCATGAAGCCACTTCCTGGACTAAAACATGCATCAGCCCCCCTCACTGTGGATGATGCAGGGAGAGAAGTACATCTTCTATTCGAAAGCATTTTCCAGACAGTCAGGTTTTAATGTAAGAAGGTTTTTTTTTGTTGTGGGTTTGTAAAGGTCAACAAAGCAAACTGCTGAGAATCATTGGTTCTGTTCTGTGCTTGATTCGTTACGCTCATTGAATATATTTTTTTTGTGCCTCAAACACGCACACACGCGCACACACACACGCACACACACACACCCCCACAGACACACACTCATTCAGAGGAATATTCCACAGACTCTGTCACAGCCCCAGGTGTTGAACATGTTGAATTTTGACGCTATTTTAGTCATTGAACATGATGGTCCCAGCTGTCGAACTTCCCTCTGGATACACACTCATTCACACACGCACGCATACACACACAGTCCCAAAGCAAGCCTCCATTCAGCTGTAGAAACTATATACATTTAAATCCTTCCCCTGTTTTTTGGGCCACTAAGTTCTGTTTTTGTCTCCTGTAGTCTTTAGGCAATCTGCAGGCCGAGCTGCATTTCCGTCAACTTGTTAAGTTCGTCTTTACATCCTGCTTCTTTCTACAATTGTTATTTTTGCTCCAATTCCAATTTTTCTTTGAACTGACAAACACATTCAGTTCTCATGTATTTTGTGTTTTCTCTGACATGTTATGTTGTTTTTAAGTTATCATCATCATCATCATCATCATCATCATCATCATTATTATTATTATGGTTTTCATCAGTGCAAGTGTTGAATTCAGACTGGATCAGACTGGACTGATCATCCAAAGCATAACTTTTCCATAAGCTCAGTTCATGTCAAATACAAACTTGGATGCACAAGTTCAAGTTTAACATATTTCTTTTAACAACACAAGGTCCAAATTATGTGCATTGGCTTGAAGAAACAGCCTACAGGCAAGCAGTAGATTGTGTTTATATATCCCACAGAAAAATTCAAAAAACAGATTTTAGTGGGTTTTCACTCCAAGCTAAAAATTAGTAGCACCAAAGCTAAATCACTGTAACAACCTGTTATTCATCAGAAGCTAAAGTGCTAATTCCAGCCGTGTTGATACCCACTATGTGTCGAGAACAAAACGTGTTAGAACATATTATTTCACTGTCTGCGCACCAACCTTTATGCTGATCAGGAAGTGATTCTTTGGAACTGACCTTTCACTCAGTTTTGATCATTTTGTTTTGAACTCTGCTGCCTTTTCATCCGTCCATCAGATAATATATGCTACATCAGAATATTTAAACTTGGTTCATTCTGGGTTTACAATAAGTCATTGGCTGCAATGCATCATGGGTGGAGAACATGAGGAGAGGAAATGGAACTGCTGCATAAACCGTCCTCATTCACTTCAAAATAAGAGCATGGATCTAAACATCTAATTAACCAAACCTTCAACACACGTCAAACTTTATGACTAAAAGTTTACAAAACACCCAAGTAAATTTGTGCTGAAGAATTTAACCAGAAAAAATTATTTAGGGGAAGCTAAATGCACTAAATGCTTTCAGAGTCACTAAAAATGCTACAAGAAACCCTAAAAAATGATTTCTACTATTTGTGCATTAGCAAAAGTGTTTAGCATTTAAACAGTTGGTTTCCTGCCATGTTCATTTCATTTCAAAGTTATGTTTTTGGGGACCATTTCTATGTCTGCCAAATTAACCAGACTGCTGATGCTGATCACTTACTGTGGAAGTCAAAGTGCAGCTCTTTTGTAAAATGTTATAATGTGAGGAACTGAAACCTTTTTTACCTCTTAATTTGTCAAAGATATGAGGTAAATTACACAAAAAAGGTAATATGTCAACCATCTCTTTCTGAATTGTTCACATGATTACAGCTGTGAGAACAGCTCTTTGGTACGTTTTGCAGCTTTACGGTAAACTATTGCTTATAAACGAGGGGTTGTGATATGGTGCTGTACTCCTTGCCTGTATGAGTGGATATTGAAAAATGGAAGTGTCACAGTTCAGTGCTATCAATGACAGCTGGTTTTGAGCCAATAACAGCAAAATTATGCTGTCCATCAATCTAGATTCAAGATTGTGTTCTTGACTGCCAACCATGAAGTACCACTGCTCACATTTAGATTGAATGAATCAATGCTTCTGAAAGGGCCTTGAGTTTTCTTTTTGTTGCTCATTTCTTCTTTGTTGCTTGTCAGCTCCTCAGAATAAATCTGATACAATTTCCTTCCCACTAGAAGATGACTTTCTTTCTCTTAACCTTTTGACTTCACTTCTTTGGAGATACAGTTAGGTTTTGTTTTTTTTGGATTTCTTGTCACACAGATTTTTTGAATTTGTGCCTTGCTGTTCATTAAGACTGTTTTCTATCAGGTCTCCTTCAATGATTTGTGTACATTTTTGCAGTCTCTCAGCTTATTTCACACAAGAAAGAATGTGTGGTTTGTGTCTGATCTATGGTAATTGTAAAGCATTGGCCTGCCAATACCAACAGTAGCTGATTCAGATTACTTTAAATAAAATATTTTAAAATATTGTTAAAAGTATTCCCTCACCTGACAAAATCATTGGACTCAGGGGTTCAATTGGCGTCCATGGTCAGACGTATGAAGTCAATCTCCTATGTATGGAGATCGACTTCATACATAGGAGATGTATGAACCTGGGTGGTGCTGCCGGTGTGAAAGTTCTTTGCTACTAAATATTTCACTGCCTTCTATAAATAATGTGGAAATTATTTATGTTCACATTACTTATGTGAAAATAAATAATGTGGAAATTACTAAAAATGTCAGCAACTCAGTCAGAAAGTGGTGGGCCATTTAAAGTAACAGAGTGGAGTAAATAAACGTGTTCTCCATGGTGACCAATCATGCGTTCTGTCTGACAATCCAATGGACAGACGTGTCTGGATTTTGCGGTTGGCAAACAACGATGCATGCTAGCCAGCCTTGCTCACCTTGCATGCTGTGGCGGGAGCCTGGACTCTTAAAGCTTAAGAGTATCAAAACATTCTGGACAACTCTCTACTCCCATCCTTGTGGCAACAATTTGTGGATGGTCAATTCCTGTTCCAACATGACTGACCACCAGCCTACAGAACTCACCCATGAAGACGTGGCAAGTCGTGGAAGAACCGGACTGGACCTGTTCTGTCCTTAAACCGGCACAACACTTTGGGATGAATGATGATATGATGATCTGGTCCTTCAGTCAATGTAATAAACAAGCAGACGCGTATATTCTGATGTCAAGTCTTACAGATTTATTCAAACTGCCAGACTAGATTCACTAGCTCTAATATCGTAACAAGGACATTTATGTACAATTTTCATGATATTCCATAACAAACCAAAGAATCAGGTAAATATTTGACAGGTTTTGAGACATTTCTATTTCACAAAATTATATTTAAAAAATGCTCTTTTTTATACATAATTTACTTGACAATAACTTAAATATGTACAACAGCATGAACAAGAGGACAAATGACGTCAGCGTGCGGCTCATTTACTAGCTAAAATAGGAGTACATGATACAAAATGGCCTCATTCAACTGAGGATTCGCTACAAAAATACATCTAATAACAGCTTTGATCGTTTCTAATGCACACAGTTCGTCACAGTAATAAATAAGACCCATGTTCAGAGAGAACTTTACTTTGCTAAATCATCTTCTGGTGTGACACCATTCTTGTCCATGCATGTTCTCCAGCGCTCAGAACCTCAGAAAATTTTTGAACCAACATGGTTGGTGAGCCGGTGAGCCGCTGTGCCGCGGCGCCCCGCCCTGTGAGGGAGGCGGGTTTCGGTCCGGTGCGACGTAGACCGGACACCAAGCAACAGTTCTGCACCTCGCCTCATTTTATCAAGCGCTAGCCGCATTCTGCCGGATGAATTTCAATGCGCTTTATTGTTTGCTTTGTTTGTTTGCACCAGAATAATCTATAGTCAGAGAGACGGATAGTTGCTGCCGCTGATGCCCCAAAGCAATCTTTGCCAGATGTTCGACTTGAGAGGAGAGGGAGAAAATGTCAGAGGATGGGAGGAGAGAAGAAAGAAAATGTGGAAAGAAGTGTGGGAGTTACTGTGCTCTTCCTGCATGCTTTCAGCTGTCAACATGCAGCAAGGATAATCTCCTTCATCACATGTAGCAGAGATAATTGTCCTTAAAATGATGTTTTAGTGAAAACACGATTGGCAGAATGTTTATTGACGTCAGATTTGAACTACCACTACTTAAGACTAACTAAAAGCAGTGAGCTGCATTTGACAAATGGCTGTTTTACTGCATGATAACCTGACAATCAAACCTTGACGTCTCTGCGTTTCACGGCCCTGAGCGGCTCTGGGACGCCGGGCTGACGTGGAGCAGGTCACGTGACGAGCCGAATCAATTACTGCTCGTTTCAGCCTAAACTCTCCCGTCACTTTGGGATATTTAAACTGACTGAGATGGCAGAAAATCAAGTGTGTGAAAAGCAGAGTGTAAAGGTCAAACGCCTGAGCGGTTTATCAGATCAAAGCCTCTTAACTGCACTTCACATTTTTGACCTACTGAAAACATGACTGGGTGTGAAGGAACGTAGCCATGGTTTCAGGCTGTGTACAGGCGGCTCTGGTCATAGAGGCTTAAGCTGCATTCAGGGGTACAGAAGTGACTCAAATGGAGAATATCTATTTTTTAAAATGATTCAGTGTTAGCTGAATCAGACCACAGTGAACAGAGAACAATTGCAAGTGTCAACTTATTTCCCCATAAAGTAGGAACATGGATCTGGGAATGACGCCAAATCCAACTAAACCCAGTAGCAGCTGCTAGTCGGAATTCAGATTATAATTGCTGTGCTCAGACAATACTGCTACTATTAGCAATAGATAATAACATAGTATTTCTTTGCAGTTTGGGAATGTGCTCAACAGAGGATGCATTATAGTACTGAATGTGTGTGGAAAATGTAAAGAAACAAAAGATGGTTTAAATAAACCCATTTTAAGGTTCATTTTCCACTTAGAATTTCAGATTCAGACTCTGTTTTTTTTATAGGTTTTACTTTAGACTCACAAGTATCGACATCTGAGTAAAATAAAATATCTGAAAATGCCCAAGATTTTTTCTTTCTTTTCATGTCGTATTGTATTAAAACGTCTGTCGCCACAGTGCGCCTTGGACCTCCAGGGATTCGCTGAGGTGTAGTTGTCGTAAAGCATCGTAGAACCTCAGATGTGTCTTGGAGTTCTACTGTCAGTCTGCAGAAAAATAATAATAAAGTTTGTCTGACTGTGTAACTAGTAGCGCCATGGTAACGCATTTGATAGCTCTGTTGCCTTGCAGTAAGAAGGTCCTGGGTTCAAATCCCAGTCTGAGGTCTTTCTGCCTCAGACTGGAGTTCACTGGAGTTCATCTGTGGTCATGGAAGGCTCTCTCTGGGTACTCTGGCTTCCTTTTGGGCTGTGGGAGGATAATCTGTTCATTTGTTTCTCTAAACTGCCCTGAGGTGTGAGTGTGTGTGCATGGTTGTCCGTTCTGTGGTGGACTGGTGTACCCTGCCTCTCACCCAGTGACCACTGGAGACACCAGTCCCTTCAGAACCCTGCAAGGATGAGTGGCTACAGACAACAGATGGATGAATAATATGTTTTGGCAATGACAAAATGCCTGGTGTCAAATATCTGATTTAGTTATGGTTATTCTCCCATTTCACTGTGGTAACTATAACACACTTTATTTTTTAGAATTCAGCCACAAATATATAAACATGCAGGTCGTCTTTTCCAGATTTGACATTTTACAGATTTACTGCACTTTGAGCTGCCTTGTTGCTGAAAAAGTGCTATATAAATAAAATTTGTTTTCCTAAAGTCACATAGGAAACAGTTCCATGGTGTGCATGACCTGTGGGTCACCTCAGCTGAAAACTGAGTGGCTCCTCATAACACTTTTACATATCTACGTAGTTTTGATTTTTTTACATTTGCCATGAATATTTCGACAGATATATTGATTCCGAGAACACGATCCCATCAATCATCCTGCGGGTTAACAAAGATTCAGCTGGCGAGTGCAACCCACAGTGACCCGTCGTCCCCACGTCCAGCCGTCCTCACCATTTAGTGAGAAAAGCAAAGCGAGCTTGACTCCTGATTTATTGTCTCTTCACTCGTTACCGGCTGCTGTTAGAAATCATTTAACATTTATAGCTTTGCATGGTCAATGCCTCAGATTATTTCTGACCCGCTGACGCCTTACAATTAAGCTCTGACCTTGAGGTCGTCCAAGCAGAGATCATTAATAGCTTCTCACAACTGATTTAAATCCTGCAGGGACGGTTTCTTTCAAGCTGTTGCATCTCATCTGTGGAAGGAGCTTCTCAGGTTTTTATCTCATATTGACTGTGTTGGTTTGTTTAAACAGCAACTCAAGGGAAAAGCCTTAAGCGATTTTTCTTTCTGATTATTTTTTATTATAGTTTTTCCCTCCCCACATTGTATTTCACCATTTGTAGTTTTAATGAGAAATAAAAGCACCAGGCAGATTTATTGGCATCCCTGTAGCATTCATAATAAAAAATGTAGAAAAATGATCCATTAATTTAAGTGCATTAATTCAATGTGGAAAATAAAACCCATGTTCCTTTTGCCAATAGGATTTTTCCTTTGGTTAATTATTTGTTTTGCCCACTGGGTCTAAGGTCAATAGACCCAGTGATGACCCACGTTCAGCCTACTATTACTCCTGCTACATTCTCATTAGCATGTGTAAGAGTCTGTAATGCCATTCTGGCCGAGTTTCCATTAGAAAAGGTTTTTGGAAACAGCAAAATTCAAAACAACTGTTGAAAAATTTATGCTCACTTAAGGCGTTCTTTTTTGTTTTTTGAAAAAGACTTAATGCACTGAAAGGAGATGGAAACACATTTGCATAATAAGTTAACATTCCCATCCTCTAATAGGCCTCTGCCTTACCAGAGCCACACAACAATTCTCTCCATGTTTCTGAGCTGTGTGGTCCATCTACTTCCTGTTTGCATAGTCAGGTTGATTCACTCCAAGCTAGTAAAATAAAATACACCTAATTTGCATTTTTATTTGTATTATTTTTTGTGACATTTTAAAAGTTCCCAAAGCATTTGGTAGAGAACCAGGCCCATAGCATCATAGATCCTCTTCCATACTTCCCTATAGACGTGATGTGTTTTCACACATTTTGCTCATTTGCTCCCTGTGGCTCCTCATTCAATGACTGAAAGAAATAGACCTTTGAATGATGTCATAGGTTTGGTATTTTAAAAGTTGTGAGCTGGTGTGAATTTGATATTGTTTTTATTTGCATCGCAGCTAATTTGGAGAGAATGAGGCTGAAGACATAATCTGACTCTGATGGGTCAACATACCAACTACCCATCAGTAAGAACATTTTTAGTTTGACTGTATCCATAAAAACCTTCTCTAAATCTGCTTAAACCTCTCACCTCTTGCATTTGGGATGATGCTTATGTTACAGAGACTGCATTTTCATTCAGCAGCGTCGGACTAGATCATTACTGCTAATTCCAGTTGCATTGCTATTTCAATTTATAATAATACCTTCCATTTGATATTCAAAGAGAAAGTGGTGTATTTCTAAAATGAAATGCCAAAGAAACTCCTCTCAATCTTATCTTATTTAATATTAGCGAAGAATGATAGCCCTGCAGAGAAAGTCTTTTATGCTTGTGCCTCTAACAGACCTGGATAATGTGGCTGAAAGATGAATTACTCTTGGATATGTTCAATTGGACTCAGAGTTGGTGGGTGGGTGGGTGGTCAGTGCATGCTCCACAGTTTCTGCCCGAGGCTTTGACACGGAAGTAACAGCAGCAAATACACAGCAGAAAAAGAAGCCCGTAACATCAGAGGCTTTCCAACAACAACAGAGACAGAGTTCACACCGTTTCCAGCCGCCAGCTAAATCTGTTTGTCAGCCGTTTTGATGTTTGAAGCAATAGGTCAACTTGGAAAAGGTTCAGTAAAATCAAGGTGAAAGGGGTTGCGTTGCCACCGACAGTTGTCATAAAAAGTTTTGAGTGTCACAGATGTGTTGGAAAAACTTTAGAGCTTCCATTTTTGTGGTGGAAATTTGAATTGTTCTTTGATTTAATCCACGTCTTTGCTGTATTTGGGAACAAAAACTGAGACCAGCTGAATGAGTTGCCATCAAACTGGATTTGGTCCAGACGTTTACAACTAGCCTTTCAGGGAACAAGGCAAACCGTAACTCTTCAAACTAGTTGCATGTATTTCCAGAAAATACAATCTTTGAAACTTTATTTCGTCATAATATTTCTAAGAAACATGATTAAGTCAAGAAATACACCACTGACTCACTATCAAAACTTGTGTTTATGACTTTATAATCAGATTGATCAATGGAGATACACTTATTAGTAAATCTCTTGCTTTTCTGTATTTGTTTTCTGAGGAAAGGACTGCAATCTAATAAAAGGCCTCAGCTTTATTGTGTATGCAAAATCTGAATTAATGTACTGACTTGCTCTAATTGTAACTTCAATCCTTTTTAATGTGTTGAGATCTGCTGTAAACATAACGTTTCATGAATGTTATAATAAAGACCTCTATTTATGTGCTTTATTACTGAACACTGTCTCCTTTCCTTCGTGCCTTTTCACTGGTTTCCGTCTTTAGTTTATCACATCCCACTCAAAACTCCTGCAAAATTCACTCGACTTTATCTGCATCTCAAACTGCAGGCAGGTCACTACTTGGCTCTGGTCAAATCTAGGGAATGATTTTGATATTTGAACCTTTTCACATTTTGTCACATTGTGATAACTTGACAGAGCAGCTGTGGTTTATAGAGATATTACATTACCAACAGTTGGACGCTATAGTGGGTGACTATTTGTAAAAATGTCACAATTACTCACTTTGTGTTGACCTATCACATAATATTTCAGAAAAAAATACTTTGAAGTTCAATGTGAGAACAAGTTATGGTGTAGAGATATTGCTTCTAGTCACTGTATTTCTTTGTAAATGAAGCCCAATAGTGTGTTACTCATATTTGTACTGGATCCTTTGTCCCCTACAGAGGAACAGAAAACCTTTTGCCTTTCATGCTTTTTGTAAGTTCTCATAAAGGAGTCTGAATAATTGGCCTCCTATTTCCTGCTTCACTTCTTAGAGGCTGGGATTCACATTTCATCTGCCTATTACTATTCTAACTGTACAGCTCTTCACTGATTTAACATATTCAGCACAGCCTGGCGGAGTGGTCAATTTAAAAAAACTCTTGCAGCAGAAGCAGAGATATCATCTCTAATATCAAATACATTTTCTTCTTCATTTGACTTTGGCACAAAAACCACCCCTGATGCAATTTGAGCATAGATGTGTCAATAAAAGATAGTGGCATGTTTTGGGAGTGCTGGTAATATTATTATCAAGCCAAGTGATTTTCATGCGAAGCTCAGGCCTTTCATTTCTCCAGATTTGTAGTTTTCAATCTTAAGAATCTGAATTAAAATTATGGATTAACCAATATGAAAATTTGGGCCAATATCAATATTTGTACTGCTGTTCTAACACATACTTATCTGTATTATATATAAATGTCATTATCTTTTAGGCATCTTGAAAAATCGACCACACTACTGACTGGGATCAAATGAATATCACTGCCACATGACCAACCTCTTCCCCCTCCAGAAACAATATGGAAATAAATATTGGATGTTGATATCGGCCCAATTTATTTATCAAACTGATAGCGATATGTTATAAATAGCCAGTCCTGATGATAATGTTGATGTATCATATATTGACTCAGCAGAAATGTTTTATAGTCAATAAATAAAAGACTGCGGCATTAAAATATTTAACTCGTGATAAATATATAAAAATTTACTCTTTTACGTTTGGTCACACTACAACCACAAAAGTCTCCATTTTGTATTTAAATGTCATGCTAACTGCTGCTAGTTACGCACCTAGCAACACGCAAAACTTTGACAATATTTTGCTAATGTTAAAAATAAATCACAATTTCACAATTGCGGTGTTTCCATTTAATAAGAAACACGACTCAAATCACACGTGAAAAAGTTTGTTCACGAGTAAGTCATTAAAAACATGCTGGGTTATCATCCTCCTACTACTTCCTGTGGTCTTCTTCTTCATGGTTGGAGCCAGTGACAACATCCAGTTGATGATTACATGACTCATGTGTTGCAAAAAAAAGTGTTTCCATTGCAGGTTTGTGAGATAAACCAATTCCAATATTTTTTCAAAATTTTCATCGACAAACAAGAATATTTTTGAAATTGGGATTTCTATTTGGCAAATTTATTTTCAAAATATCAAATTGCACAAATACATGGTGAATGGAAATGCAGCTACTGTTAATTGGAAGGAGCATCATCCTTAAAATAAAAAATCTGAAATGCATGGCAAACATTTACTGTGATAAAAGCTGATGCAACTGATTCCCATCAGTCACCTGATGTCTGGTACGTTTTCAGGGAACATTAGTGAACTGCTCAATCCATCATTCATAAAAATGTATGTTTCAAAAATCTGGCCCTTATGGAAGAAAGTCACTGTTGATTAAAAACTCATAAGAATTCCTAAAACGTTATGTGAGCAGAAAAACACGTCGCCTTAAACTCTACCATCGCTGTGTGGGCGATGCTTTTCTTCAGCAGGGAAAGAAAAGTATTAACTCAGGAGGAAGCTGAATAGAAATGCAAATATCAGATCTGTCTTTGTAAAGAATTTTGATTTCTGTCTGCTTTTCACTTATTTATGTTTCTTTAATCCCAATAAAAGAAATTCATGTTTATAATATGACACAAAAGTGAGAACGGTGACATAGTTCAAGGGATATAAATACTTTTACAATAGTGTTTGAAGATCTGCCTTTCCTCTGACACGGCTGTGTGGCGTCGACAGAAACAATCTGAAACCTCTCGGGGAGAACATGTGAACCAAACAGTGCATGTTTATGATCACAGAGTGAAGATATCTAAAAGGAATGCGAGGCTGAACTTTTTTCTTTCTCTTTTTAGTGTCGCCGAAATTCATCCTGAAAGTAAATGATCGGTTTAAAATGCTAAACGGGAGACGTCGACTGATTTCTGCCGAGGAAAACGAGCCCAGCTGCGTATTCCTGCCACGATCCCACAGGCTGCACACCTGAGGCTCATTTAGAGCGAGATTGCGACTGATGAGGATAATTAACCATCTTTTTATATATATATTTTTTTCCAGACGCGTGAATCAGTACTGCAGTGTAAGGACTCTACGAGGCTCTGCATGAAGACAGATAGACTTTGTTTTCTGATTAGGCTCTCCTTAAAACGACTCATATTCCACCCTGGACGTGATATTTAGGCAATGAAGTGGGACTGGTCTTGGGGAACAGCTCACAGTAACACCTGTAAGGGCAGAACTGCCGGATGAGGTGGAGGGTACAGGGATGGGTGGTGACTCTGAACGGGATGAAAAGCCGCTAAGGGGTATGGACTGGGAGCGTCCAGCAGCGGGATGGGAGAGGAAGCGTAGAATGAAGGAGGAAGAGGCGGAGGGGGCGGTAGTGGAGCGGGTGGTGGTGGTGGAGGAGCAGGGGCGAGAGGAGAGATGTGAGGGGAGAAGGGGGGTAGAAGGTGGGGGTATGAGGAGAGCTGGAGGTGTGATGGAGGTGGCAGAAGGGAAAGGTTGTGCTGGATGAAGGTGTGGTGGAAGGAGAAGGAAGAGGAAGATGAGAGGGACGGCTGGAGGAGGAGTGGAGTGTGGAAGGGGATGCAGCGTGGGGGGAGGTGAGGAGGAAAGCACTGCCTCTTCTCTGAAAACAGATGCTCCAACTCTATCCCTTTCCTCCTCTCCCGTTCCTCCTTCTCCTTCCTCCTCACCCACTCCTTCTCCCACTCCTCCCTCTTTCTCTCCAACCGTTTCTCCTTCTCTTCCTCCTCCTCCTTCCTCTGCCTCTCCCTGGTGTGTAGATGTTCTGCTTCGTCTCTGGTGCTGGTGTTATTAGCAGTATTACTGCTGGGCTTACAATCAGGATTACTGTTGAAACCATGGCACTGACCGCTGTCAGTCTCAGTCTGATGAACGCCCTGGCTGCTCCTATAACCACCATCTGGACCAGAGAGCGGGGCGCTGTCATGACCCTGTGCTTGAGTTTCACCCTCCTCGCTCTGACTGCTCCTGATAATTTTATCGACAGAGTCACAACTGCGATGAAAAGTGTCATCAGTTACGCTTTGATACTCTGTTTTGGTGTGCTTGTCTTCACACTGACAAAGGTTGTTGGTGCTACATCTGAGGGTACCTGTTAGCTGTCCACACCCTGATGGTTCTGTTTTGTTCAAAGTACAATCAGGATTCTGGTCAACCAAACGTACATGACATCCTCTACTAAAAGTTGTATCATGATCACAGAAGACGGCAGAATTAAGTCCATCATTCCTGATGGACAGCTCAGCTCCCTGTCGGTGCGGCATTGAGGTGTTACAGGTGTGACAGTCACTGAGTTGTGTCAATCCTTCAGTTTGACTGCACTCACAGTCGTTAGCAGTTCCATGACTCTCATCACAACAGCAGGGCTTGTCCTGATGGTCAGGACTGCAGCTAAGTGGTTCCTCGTCAGTGTTGGCGCTGTGGCTCAGGGGCTCTTGGGTCTTACAGATTGGGCGGCAGTCTGTAGGTATGAGCTGACAGCAACAATCCCCTCTGTCACTGAGGTCAGAGGTCAAGATGGCCTGATTTCTTTCTTGCCTCTTGAGTAAAACATTCATGAATCTCCTCAACTGCCTCCTGCCTCGTCTTCGTTTCTTCTTCAGTGCCACCGGCTCCGGCGATCCTCCCTTCCTCTTTCTGGACAATCCTGCAAGCAAACGAGTGGGAGGGGGAGCCACTACCTCACAGGCCGATCCGATTCTTGGCTTCCCTTCCAAACAGCACAGGCTCTCAGCTGTCGTGGTGCAGCTTTGTCCTGCAGGTATTGTTTGTGTTTGACCACACGCTGTCTCTCTGGAGGAAGGGGAGGTGGGGCTAATCGCCAGATTTCGTGCCATTTCTCCGTGAGGTCTAGGAACGAGACACATTTCCTCCTCGCATGCAGCGTCTCGACGGGGGAAAGTAACACTGCTAATCGCTAGCTTACACGTGTTTTCCTCAGCGCCACTTATCTCGCCGCTCCTCGGATTCCTTTGCTCCTGCCCGCCCTCCTGCTTCCCCGCCTGTGCGTCTTTGTGGATCACTCCCGTCCCTTTGTCATCCTCGGCAGGGCCAGGTGTAATTGCGGGACAGCGTGGTGTCTCCATAACAGACTTGGGGACGTGGCTAATCACAGAGCAGCATGCTGCACCCCTGCAGAGGAGCTTTCTGAGCTCTGGGCCCCATTCGGAGACTGATTGGTGGGATTGATGCTGGCTGGCCTCCCGCTTCACCTGCACACACAGCTGGTTACACCGATTACACCGATTCATGGGAAGATTACTTAATAGCTCTCCCCTCTTTTCGTCGTTTCTACCTGCCCTCTCTCGCATCATCTGATCCCTTCTCATCCTTTGCTCGTCTTCCCTCATCTTCTTTTCTCTCCCTCCTACAGGCTGATTTGCAGTGAGATTACTTAATAGCTCTTTATCTCTCCTCTCAGCTTTTATGTTGCCCTCTCTTTTCAGCTTCTCTTCCCCTCTCCCTTCAAACATCTGACTTGCAAAGAAGGGACTCGTTATCCTTCCCTTTTCCGAATCTTTTTTTTCCGCCTTTCCTCTTCTTTTCTTTCTCCCCCTCCTCCTTGTTCCCCTCCCCATCCCTGCCCTCCTCCTTCGCCTTTTCCTTGCTGCTTTTAGAAGGCCTGGTGCATGGTGGCTTTCTGCAGAGAGGGGAACAAATTTTAAAGCATTTTCATCATGGCAACTGGAGTGGCCTTGGATTGCGACGCCACCATCACAATGGTCGACAACTTCCACAGGATTTCCCGCCTGTCCTCCCTCTGCCTCTTCTCTCCTTTCATCTATCTTCTCTTCCTTTCCTCCCTCTGTATCTTCATGCCTCTCTTGGCAGTCGGGTTGTTTGATCACAAATGGCTTTATTCTCTCTCTCCCTTCCTCGAGACCTCCTTTTTTTTCTGTGCCCCCTTTTTTGGCCTTGTGATGGGCTCTGAAATCGTACAGTAGAGGGTTGACGCTGTAGGAGATGGAGGGCGATGTTTTGGTGTAGTTTACCATCTCTGTGGGCCAGAGAAGAACCCTGCCTCTGTCACGGCTCAGAACCTGACAGAAAGGTTCTTTGGGACGATCTGGAGGTACAGGCATCAATGTGCTGCAACAAGTTAATGAGGGGAAGCTTGATTCTTTTGGACTCTCATTTACGACACAAGAATCAGACTTCTCAGGATTATTTGTGGCAGAGGAAAGCAGATCTTCACCTTCTTGATGTGTTGTCTCTTGATGGTGGATCTCATTTTCTCTGTGTGCTGAATCAGTGCTGATGCTGTCAGAAATCTGTTCTGGTGTGTCTCTGTTTAAATAAAGATGAGCTTCAGTCCCACATTGGGCTTCTGTCCCATTGTCCTTACATAAAGAGAGCTGGGCTCCACTCCCACTAATTGTCAAGTTTTCTTCTCCAATCACATTGCGATTGCATGAGGAAACCTGGGCTTTATTCCCAGGCGGTCCCAGGGGTCCTTTGTCAGCAGACTCAGCAGGCCGGAATTCAATCTTACTGTCCGCACTGCACTGGTTTCCAGTGTCCCAGGCATCCACATCCGAACACACCGGAGACTTTGACCCCAGGTCAGTAACTTTCTCCCCAAGGTTTTTTGTCCTTTCCTGGTTTGCCACACCTACTTGTTTCCCTGGCAACCCTGAACCCTGTCCGGCTTGGATGAAGACCGCAGCTGATTGGTGCAGGAGGACGCAGGTCCGCTTCGGCAGGGAGAAGGACACGGGGCGAAGCCGGCAGGGGGCCAACAGGGCGTGAGTCGTACTCATCACCTTGCTTCTGTTGTCATTTGGGTTTACGTCAGGGTGATCGCAGGACTTTGTGCCAGTGGTAGCTGTTGGGACATCTATAGGAGTCATGGCGTTACTCGTGTAACAACGAGGCGTCAAATGCTTGTAGAAGTGATTTGAAACGGTACAGTTTGTGTCATCAGGGTTTATCGTGTGGTTGGCTCTGAGGCGGCCGCAGTCCAGATGGGTCTGTTTGAGGATGCAGGGTTCGTCAGCAGCAGCTGCAGAGTTGTTTGCATCCCTTTGGCCGTATGCCCAATCAGTGTTGCTCAGGAGTCTGGACTCGAGTGTGGGGTCTAGAGGGAGGAAGGGTTGGATCAGATGGGTCTGTGGCTCTGAAAGGGAGAAGAAAATAGAGGCTTGGTACTGCTGACACTGCTCATATTTACATGCAAAACATAAATGGGTTATTTTTCTACGTCAGTAATAAAAAACAGAGTAGGAAAAAAAAACTGTGGCACATTGGGCATTATTTTCTAAGACTTTGTCTACAATATTCCGATCATGCTTTTGAGATTTTCTGTTTTATTGTTTTTAGTACAGCTGGATAATTTACTGCTCAACAACTAAAGACAAACATGCATTACATGAGTTTGCAAACACACATCTTTGGAATGATGTCATATTCACTTTGAGACTTTAAGGATTAAGTTGGACTTTGGTTTTAAAGCAGGGCTTCTGTCTCAGTTGGCACTGATGTTGATTTTCTAACTTCACTATATAGTGATGGAGTTTAGGTTAGTTGTTCTTGGGTTGTTCCTCAACACTCTAATGACTTTCCTTCATACAAAGGTTATAGTCTGGATTAGATCATTGGTCCAAACAAAACAAACCTAGATCTAGAAACTTTGAAAAAAAATATTGTCATATTACGTTGTCTGAGCTTGTAAAATGGGCAGCAACCTATTTACTATGGAAATTATAGAAAGCTATGGAAAGAGTGAGCTGGAATCAGTTAACCAATTCATCTCTACCAGTTCACTGGAATAGCTGAAGGAGCTTGTTAATGGCTGTTATCTGGGGTTTTTTCTAGGGTTAGGTCTGATCATTTGACTCAAAAGTCTGGTTCGTTTGGGGAAATGTGAATGAGTAATCAAACTCTGGTGTGGACCCATAAAGCTGAGTCTGAGCTTCCTGCAAACCTAGATTTCAGTTCGGTTGAAGTGAAGTCTGGTGTGGTAGAAATGCGTATGTGAATGTCAAGTGGACTGTCGACCACTCCAAAAGAATTGTGGGTAAATACTACCAAAACTAATGGGGAAGTCTCGAGCCAGCAATAGAAATGGCTTATGAGAAATCCTAAATAAAAATCTGACACCACTCCATTTTTCTTTGCATTTTGTGAAGAATGAAGTTGCATTCAGTGTCTTCTTTAGAGGTTTCTGAGTCATTTTTTTTAGTGGCTCTTGGTATTGCACCCCCACAGGTGAGAAGGAGAACATGTTTTTCAAATGTTTGAGATTGTTTGACACATTGTTTTTGTTCCCCAATTGATAGTTGGGGCTGATAGCTGATACTCTACTGGACTATCAGCTGTGACGACATCCTAATATTCATTTTCTAGAACCATTTTAGTGCACAGCAAACTCCCAGACATGCATCTGTCTGCAAACAGGTGTGTTAAATGACTCAGGCAGATATTTCTGGGCAAAGGTATTAAAATGACCCACAGCTTTAACAGTTATCTGTGACGTGCCGCCTTCTTTTGCCATGGCGCAGGGTTTATAAAACATTTGGGTGTTTAAAGAAGGCGAGCCTTAAAATGACATTTCTCTCTCCCGATTGTGAAAATGCAAATTCATTCAGCACTCAGGCAGACAGCCGAGTTTGAAAGGAACTGCCCAACTTTTCCGATGGCTTTGACTTTATAATGAGAAACCTGTACCGAATGAGGGGGTGACATATTTTGCAGATCAGAGGATGACAGTTGATTGTTTCTCTGAAGTCTGCGTTATGCTTTCTTAACTTTTAAAATGCAGCCATTCAGCACACAAAATCCACTAGAGATGGACTAAAGGGATTTGATTTCAACTTTTGTTTCAGAAGAAACTCAGACAAGATGACAGAAAGTAATTCAGTCCAACAATTCCTCACAGGCTGACCCACTTATATGTGAATATATTTTAATTATGGACCTAACTTTAAGCAATTCGTTTTTATGAATCGATCTTGCAAAGGAGAAAATAAACTTAGAGCTTCTTTCGGGTAATACTTCTACCAGCTTTGCATGTCTAGCAACTGACATTATCAATATGTCACTGTAGGCTTGATGTTTGCAGTAGCTGCGTTTCCATTGCAAATGGGCTTAAAATTTTTTGATATTCTGCTAATGTATAAAAAACACAATTTCCAAATTGTGGTGTTTCCATTAAATAAGAAACACAATTAAAATCGTACGTGAATACATTTGTTCACGTGATAAGTCATTCATCCTCTGGCCCAAAGGCTTCATCTTTCAGTCTCATCCACCATGTTCATCCTTATTTTTGCCAAGCCTTTTGCATTCTTTCAACAGCTGCTTTCCTCCTGCCACTGGAACAGTAACATCTCTAACTTGAGAATCTTCATGCTTGAACCCACAAGGAAAGGTACTGAAGCTTGAGCTCCAGGTGCCATGTATAGAGAGACAAGGCGGCGATGAAGAAGGTGGGGGTCATATGTTTAGAGTAATGAAGCAGCCTGTCTGTTTTCTGTATCCTATAAAAGCTCCTAGTGACAGTGGGACAAGTATTTTGGAAACTATTTTAATTGCTTTAATTTCCCTCAGATTGAGTGCACTGGTCTATTAAAATGGGCGTGTCCTCTTGTGATTCATCTAAGTCTGTGTATCAGAGTCCACACTTGAAATATCTCACAGAGGAATCATGTTTTACTGACAGCAACATCTGTTACATTTTCAGCTGCTGTGGTTTGCTTTCACACTGCTCTGTGTCAAACAAACTGAACACTGTTCACCTCCTCGCCTGTGGTGGCGCTACACCAAAAACCACTGAAGGAAACATTTGTTATTACAAATGACAAAAACCTCCGAAGAAGTCACTGAGCGCAACTTCCTTCTTCACAAAATGTAAACTCAAATGGAGTGGAGTCAGATTATAGCTGTTGTAAGATTTCTCAGACCACGAGCCACTTCTCCCACTAATGCTAGACTCACGTTTATTTTAGTTGTATTTACCCAGAATGCCCTGCGCTGCAGCCCATGTCCTGCTGTTGGAGTATTCTATGGTCCGCTTGCCGTTTACATATGCATTCAAACCACACTAGAGTTCATTTCAACCAAACTGAGACCAATGTTTATAGATGAACATTTTTTGGTTAGCATCAGAGTTTACATCTATATCACCAAAGGAAAATAAATTTCTAGATCAATGATCTAGAGTTCAATTACAGTGGGCCAGACAAGTCTGGTGTGATTTCACCTTAAGATTCATATTGGAAAAATTATCTTCTTTTTTAGTTTCCCAATTATGTAATACTATGTGTTGGCCTCTTATGGGTTTCAGGTGACAAAATGTCAAAGAAAGTGTTGAAAACTTAAGAATTTTGTAAGTCACTGTATAATATCTGGTAGAGTTCAGAAGTAATAATTTGGGATAATATTTGTGTATAAATGACACCAGACTCTTAAGCTTCATTACCCAAAGGCTACTGATGGTCATAATCATAATGTGACTGGGATATTGTGGCCGTTAAATAAGTTTCTTCTTTGACTTCATAACCATGAAACAAAAACATGGACATGGAAAAGTTGAAGTAAGAAAGTTAAACCATAAATATTTGGGAAACCCTTGAAATGAGGAAGTTTTCTCTAAAATGCTAATCCTGTTTCTGCAGTGTAACGACTGACCTGAATTAAAATAGAAGTTTCAACTCTGTCCTGGTTATTATTACAAATGACAAAAGTGAGTTTTTTTTTTTTTTCACATTTTGACAATCTAAATTCTTTATTTAAAAAAAAAAAAAAAAAAAAACAACTAGAGAAATGTATTTAAATACAGTCTTAATTTAGTTAAATGGATTAGGACTAACTTAACGCTGCAGTGACTCAACATTAATTTCCCTCCCTGTTGATATGCTTTTCAAATCATCAATAATAAAAACATTTTTGCTAATTTCCTGAGCAAATTATTTCATCTGCGTTTTTCTCCTGCTGAATTGAACTTTTTCTCTCTTTTTTTGGTTCGAGGCTCCTTCCAAATCCCTACAGCATTATTTCATTTGCTGTATGATTGCCCAGAACACATTTTTCTTGTTATGTTGCATCGGCCAGCTTCCTCATCTTCATTTCTCTCCCCATTTCATTTCTTGCTGTCAACAGACATAATTCAGCAGACCGCACGCCGGTTAATCCCTCAGTATCAAGAGTGATATCCTCATCACCGAAAACCAAACACTCTCTCATAAACTATTTAAGCAGCCCGCCACATGCCTTTTAAGTGGATAAGAGCTCTTACTTGTTGCCCGTTCGGCGCCGCTCGAATGGAAAGCTTCCCAGTTCCGCTCGACATTTGGTTGGGGCTGATTCGCTGGGTCGATTGCCACTGTGGTGGACCGGAACATCGGACCAGAACCCGGAGCGCTGAGGAGAAAAGAAGAGAGGAGAGGATGAAGACAGATAGTCCAAATGGGGAAAGTGTATCAGGGTGATTGGAGAAGGTGAAAGCTGAGGTGAAAGGAAATAAAAGAAAACCAGAGATAAAGGAAATGAAATAAATTTAGCAGAGAGGACAAGAAGAATCAATAAAGAGTTAAGAATGAACACATTTAGAGGAGAGGAATTAAGAAAGACAAGGAGACCAAAACTAAAATCTAGCTGAAAAGAACTTTATCTGTGCCTCTCTTTTCTTCCCAGTTTGTGCTAGAAACCGACTGGCATTGTTGTTGAACTGAAAATGGGAATGACAGCCGACACCGAGACTATTTATATTCGGTGCCAGTGCTAAATACTGTGCGCTTGGTCAGAAAGGCTTTACAGGCTTCCTGAAAATCCATACGAAGCTCCAACACTTCCACTTCCTTTTAAGAAGGCATACACCATCATTTTTATAACTTTCTCTGTAACTGCATCCATGCTGGTAGTTCACAATAGTCATATCAGACTTATGTCTAAAAGTGTGATTATGGAAATAATCATTTTCTGAAAAGTGAAAAAGGGTGTTGAACACCTGATGCTACAATCAGAACAATATATTTGGTCATCAGTGCATAAAGGAATGACCACACAAGAAGAAAGTAGTGATAATTTTCTTTAAAGTAAAATGTGTGTTCATACGGTGAAGGTTTAAATTGTCTCATCCCTGTAATTTACTACAGCACAGAAAAATCACCATTCGTGATAAAATATGTAATTGACAAAAATAATAGCATTTGCATAGATTTGGTCATTTCTAGTTTTGTTCTGCACTTCATTGTTACTTTTACAGCCTTTACTTTAGCTAGACATCAGTGGTTGGAAGCAGCTGAAAGTCTAACTTTTCTCCACATACCAGTTTCAGCTTGATATCACTACTGTAATTTAACAGAAGATGGAAACAGATAATTGATTTTCAAACGACAAACCAAGCTGTTTTATGTTTTGTGATTTTCAGACTTTAGTTTTAGATTGCTTGTAAGTTGATTGTGTGGAAAGTATAAAGTGTTTTCAGGACAAAGCTTCTGGAAACGAATACAGTCCAAAGTATGATAGTAAACTAAATACTTCCACTGATCTTCCATCTATAACAGCAACAGCAAACTATAAAGCCACCATAATGTATGTAAAGTTATGTCATATTTATGACCGTCTCATGTTAGTCTTATGCACATCCATTCAAATAAAATGTAAACCATCCATTTACTTTTTCAATAGGGATTTGTTAATATATTTACAATGAAAATATCTTCGTCCATATAGTTCCATAAATTCCCTCCACAGATCACATTCTCCTCATTGTTAAAAAGCGCTTTGTGTTTGCTAACATTTAGCCCTCAGCTTAACTCGTTACCCCCTTTTTTTTCTCCTTATATCCCTGACTTATACCAAAAAGTCCTTTAAACGGTTAAAAATCAAGCTAGAATGAGCAAGCATCTCATTTTAATTTTTATTATTTATGTTTTGGGGTTTTTTTTAGAGTGTTCACCCTAAACTACAGTATGACAACATCCTTCCACTGTAAAATCTGAAGATTTGACCTGTCAAACACATGAGCTGTTCTAAAACAAGCAGAATGAATGAAACATTGAAACTCAGTGTCTCATCTTCTGCATGAGGAGCAGCAGCAGGATGAAGTCACTGTGGAGCAGCGGTTGGTGCCTTCAGGTCTCAGACACTGACAGTGTTAGAGATGATGCAACTCAAAGACAAATTATCTTCATTAACAAGCAGCATAAAGCTTCAAAATGAAAGCATATTACTCAACAACATATTTGGTTTTATTTTCATACCAAATATAAACACAATTTAATCTTAAATCATTATAAGTCTTTTTTTTACATTTCTAATTCCTGCAGAGGAAACTTTCCTGCATGGATTAAAGAGGCTAAATGTTTTGAAGGTGTGTGCAGGGACTGTTTTCTGGCACGGATCAGCGCTCTGGTGGTGTGGGCGTGTTTGGGTTGTGACTCTGAGCTCGGAGCTCAGATCACGCTCACATGTGACACCGTGTTCGCCGGATTCTGCTGCTGGAGGAACGCCAGATGAGCCGTCCTCAGAACATGTTTTCAGGAGGAAGCAGCCGAGTCCATGTTATGTTTCTGAACATGCAGAAACATGACATGGTTATGATGATGCTCCAGACACACAAATCAGAGGTTAAGATGCACGTTTTTAAAAGATGAGATTATAGTTTATGCTGTTTGACTCTGTCTTATCTCATGTTTTGGCAGTTCACCTTATTTAGAATTACAGTGTTGGACTTTTACTGTTTTATGCCTTTGCTTGTTTAGTTGTTGGAGTGTATTTGCATATCATTATATTTGGTTTTCATCTTGTTGCATTTCTCATTATAAATCTGAGCTGCACAATTAGTTTTCTAGCATCTTTTTAACAAATTGCAGGAAATAAGTTAACAAAAATTCTCCTGTGCAACAAAATAAATATATGTAACATTTTCTCCTTAACAAGTGTCTGACTAAATAAATAAAATATCCCCAACAAAATTACACAAATATCCATAGTAATTTTTTTTTCTCATCATTACTTTGGAATCATTTTTTAAGTCATTTTCCACAAACATCGACATCCAATTGAAGGAAATGGGATGTAAAAATCTATTTATTAAAACAAACAAACAACAATAACAAAAAAAACCTAAATATATCTGCAGCTCTGAACACAATAATTTTTTTTAACTTAATGAAAGTGGAACATCTTTGACTGTGGGACACATTTTACTCTGTTATTAATCTAACAGATAAACAGCATGAAGTTTTCCAGGTAGCCGCCTCCTTCATTTCCCCTGCAGGAGCAAAGGCCAGATCAGATTACCTAGGAACATGTTTACCCCAGAGGCCTTGACTTTTGGTATCTAAAGTCTGATCTCTGCTCATATTTCCAGAATTTCATTTTATTCATCTCCCAGTTTGAAAGTCTCCACAGTTGTTTCCTCTTTGATTAATAAAGCTGGAGTAATTGATATTTTGTTTGCAGACACAACATTTTGACCCTGCCACTCACTTTAAATATTGCTTCTTTACAGTGTTTGCATTTGAATACATTAACAAGACTGGCTAACCTTTGTGGAAATTGTCATTAAAAGAATGAACTGTGGAGTTTGGCTTCCAGCATCTGTGGATGTGGAGAGATTAACCAGACATTTTTTGAGCCCACAATGTTATAATATGACAGCATTTAACTGCTGACAAACAAAATAAACAATCACACTTTCTGACGGCGTTCATCGGGTTCATCTCCAAACGTTCTGCTCTCTGAACCGTTTGTTCACAAACAAACCCTGGCTGCGTTTCAAGTATTGCATTAGAAAATGTTGATGGAAAAATCCAAATAACCAACTCCAACCAAACAATAACCAAAACGTTTTTATGCTCGCTTGAGGTGTTTTTTCCATAAAGGAGTTAATGCTGGAGATCCCATCCACTGGTGAGTCTGTGTCTTATGAGGAGCATAAAACCTGGAAAATGTTCAAAGTGCAATCTTCCAGCACAGAGGGGAGGATACAATGCAACTTCAACTTCCTGTTTATTACAGCCGTAACATCAACATCTGAAGGAATCACACTTTGTGTAGCCTGGCGGGTTTTGCTCCAAGCGAATATATTGAAACAAGCCTAATTCATTTTCGTATATGTCTTTATTACAACATTTTAAAATGTTTGTTGTCACAAAGATTTTAATTTATTAAATGGGTCTGTAAATGAAACTTTGTTTTGCATTACTTTTAAATGTTTTGCATGTATGTGTTTTTTATATAATCACAGAAGTTTTATGTAAATCACTGGAAATATAGAGAAATCATTTGACATTTCTGCTTGTTTTTTAATAGAAAATGAAGAAATTTGAAGCAAGCGGCCAAGATAGGTTACGAGATTAATCTACTTAAATGTACAAATTTGGATTATTTTAGAACAATTCATTCGTAGCATCGTTTTGAAGACCCTGACAGTGAGGATGTAAAACTCTGATGGCTTCGCCTCCTGATGAGCGCATCGCTGTTATTGCTGGTGTTGGTTCTGACCCGTCTGTGTCCTGCTGTGACATGTCAAAATGTTAGCAGTAAATTAAAGGAACTCCAGCTGCTTAACAGCCTAAACACAACCCAGTAAGACACAAAACATCTCAGGGTTTTTATATCGTCTGTTTTCTAAATTTCAACAATCACAAGCCTTTTACTTCTCTGCCTTTGGGCTCCACCTCCTCATAAATATGTTGAATAATTGTTCACCTAACCTTCTCAGCCCGCTGGTTGGCGCTGAGTGCATATCAAACATTTTTTTTCTCATGGAAAGCTACATAGAAAGGGCGCTGATTAAAGCTGAGGAAATGCAGGGAAACCATAAATGTCAGCCTGATGAAATAATAGAGTGAATGTAGTGAGAGCTGCACAGTCAGGTGATTAGCTTGAGCAGATTTATTATTACAAGCAGTCGCTTACATTAAATATATGGCGATATAAAAGAACTCTAATTCAGAGTTGTAAGAGAAAGGGGGTTTTCCTCACAACAAAGCAACATTTTTACATAAATTGCATAAAATATTCAAAAAGCAGGCCAACATCTGCTGTGGTGGGAGATGGTTGTGCACCAGAACAACAACAAATGGATTAAAGTGTAAACAATAGAAGTACTGGATGTTGCTCACCAGTCTCCGGTCCCCCTCGCGTCACGCTGATGAACTCTCCTCAGCGCTCTCTCCTCTCGTTTCTCCTCCCTGCGCCTCCTCTGCCTCCTGTAGGCCAGCGCTCTGTAAAACTCCCTCTGCTTCAGCTCCTTCAGGCGCTGTGGAGCAAGAACATGTCTCACTGTTTGCTGTAAGACAAATCCTACATGCAGTTTGCTAACAAACTGAGAGAGGTTGTGAGGGTAAAACACACATATAAAAAAATGTCTGGATTTAAACTGAAGTGTGAAAATTTACCTTTTTCAGTCCATTGCGGACGTCACTGTCTTTCTATTTATGCACGTTACAAGTATCTTTATTTTTGCTTCTTACTCATAAGTCCTTATGTTAGTTATTACCACTATCACTGAGCAGAACCACTCTGAAGCCTTTACAGAGTATTAGTACTGCATTAATGCAGCATATTTACCATTATCATGTCAGAGTTAGCCAAGGAGGCACAAATTACCCGTGGTGACTTCATGGTGCTTGTCTTTATCAGTTTCATCAGATGTGGTTTGGGATATTGATGTTGATGAGCTGAAGCACAAGGCACACTACAATATGACACCATCACACCGAAACTAATTAACTACCTCGCTACCCAGATAAAATAACATTTTATACCCAGATAGCCTTAAGGCTATCTGGGTTGCTAGAGAGAAAATTTTATTTTCTAGCTGCTGTGCAAGGAAAAGGTTTGGGTATACTACCAAGATTTTATTATTATTATTATTATTATTATTATTATTATTATTATTATTATTATTATTATTATTATTATTATTATTATTATTACTTATTCATTATTAGAAAAGCCATGAATAGTGTACAAAACAAGTCAGGGAAGACAATTGGACAATATTACAGTTTTCAGAAAAGACTTTAAAAAGAATAGTTTTGTAAATAAAAAAAAGGCAAAAAAACATCACACAAAACACATAATGAATAGCTTTAGTATCATACTTCAAACAGTCAGGACAAAGCAATGTGCTGATAAATCATGACATTTTTCTTAATTTTACTTGAGACGTTTTTATGTGATTTGAAATATTCAGATAGATAGAACTGATAAATATCAGTTTTGTTGAGAAACAAAACCTATAGAAAGCTTGAACTTTATGGAAGTTTAAGTTTCCGCCCTGTCCTTCCTATTTTACATCAAACAAAATAATGATGAAATATTTACAGATAAAGCTGCATTAAAATTATTAGAAAATTATTAGGTGCAGTCGAGCCCCATCTGACAGATACCCAACCAGCTGCCACTGGTGCTCACTAAGTCAGCAGAGTCAGCTCCAGCACAGTCCAGATCAGCTTAATTCACTTACTGAGCTCTGTCTGGAAACCCACAACTACTTACACACTCTGTGTGTGTGTGTGAGTGTGTGTCACAGATAACAATGATAATAACACAAGGATGAGTTCACATCACACACAGACGGACAAATAGACAGCAAGGCGGGCAGTGGGAATGGCAAATGGACGAGCGAACAAAAATAGACAGACAGATGAAACGCAGGCAGACAGACAGATGCAAGCAGGCAGACTGGAAGACAGCTGCACTGGGGTTTGTTAGCGCTTGCTGCTGCATGTAGCCTCTGTATTTCATGGATGGTTTGGATGTTGTGTTGGAGAGGAGGAGATGACAGGAGGGCTCACAGCAGGCTGTAATCAGAAGCTCCAAATATCTCAAAGTACAATCTTAGAGATGTGAACAAATCACCACAAAACAAACTTTTAGCAACCTTACATTATCACATGTTCAGGTTTCTTCACCAACAGGAAATACATTCATACTGATTCTGGACTTTGTTCAAAGGTTAATACTCATGGAGGTTGGGTGGAGTATTCATTAGCTGTGAGTGTCCGAAATGTGAGGCCTGCTCTGACAAACAGATAGTCAGAGCCGGCCCGGTTCCAAAGCAGACTCTTTAAACAAGTCCAATGATTCAAGGCAGTAAGGTTCGTCTGTTGCTCATCTGAGTTATTAAAGATGAAGAGTTTCCACCACGACTGTGGATAGCTGATTTTTCTGTAACAGTTACGTGTTTCTCCACCATTTGCACATTGAGCAGCATGCAAGCGCTAAGACCATCCTCCTAGCTCCCAGTGTCTGTTTAATTACTTTCTTAATTACGTAATTGAGGTAATTGAGCAGACAGAAATCCTTTTAAAATGTGAGCAACTCTGTCAATATTCCACTGATGGAAAAAAAACTACATTTTGTCATTATGGTGTTTCCATAAAATGAGAAATCCAATTAAAATCACAAGTGGATATGTTTGTTCAGGAAATACGTCATTAAGAACCTGCTGCATCATCATCCTCCAACTGCAACCTGTCTTCTACTTCATGGTTTGTGCCGGTGGTACTGGGTCTTAAATTGCCACTGTTTACACTATACTGGCAAATAAATCTGACCTTCTCACTTTATTCCTGCTGAAAGCGTCAGATAAAGCAACACTTCTATCCTGAGCTTAACAGCGCTGGGTTGTCTGTATCCAACCAGCTGCATAATCTAGATTTTTTAATTTCTTTAGAGGCGTCTAGTAAAGGGGTGGACGAGAGAGTCATGACACTTCCTTCTCGGGTTTTGTAACGATTCTCTTCAATGTGATGCCATTGCTGAAATCAGAAGGAATTTCTTTGCTCAGCTTTGAAATGAATAATTAGACTCACACATCCAGGTTTATAACTGTGGTACAGACTTTTCTGCAACAATGACTGAATTTGTGAAAAAAAATAACTTTTTTGTCTATGCACACAAACAAATCTTGTTCTCAGTCAATGAGCCACATTTGTATTTTACAGAATAATACCCCATAGAAAATGTTGATTCTGACGGGAAACTAAAGGTTTTCTGACTCATCTGGTGGAGTGTACTCATTGACGCAGAGCACTGTATGTAAATGGTAAGAGCCATTATAAGTCAAAGACTTTGCGAAGGGAAATCAAGAAGACATAAGTTCAATATGGACTAAATTTAATGATTTTATTGTCATAGTGACCATTGTATACACTAGAGCTACACTGACTGAGTCACACACTTTCATACACTGATACACAGATCACTGAGTGCCCAGGGGCAACACACAGTTTAATAGGGGGAAAATGGAATCAAACCCACAACCTTTCAATTGCAAAACAATGTGTCCAAGATTCAACTAAAAATTCTGAAATTCTGAAAACAAAATCTGAGAATAAATGAAATGGTAATCAATGGGGAAAATCTACAACTAATGTGCTTACAAAACCAAGACATACTGAAAATATAGATATAATGATATAATATCCTTTGTTTTGTGTTTATGAATCTATTTGTTAGCCTTTTGAACTGTTGTGAACTTGATGTTTTTTTTTTTTTCCATACAAGCATCATGTAGTCCTCAAAATGTCAACGGCAAAAGTTGGGAGAAAAGAGTGAGTTGTTGTTCAACAATAAATTAATCATTTTACAAAAACACACTGTGTGTGTACTGGGTCTTAAATGGGCCGGTTCCATCAAAGCTTCTGTGTTCCTCTGTTAAGGATACATTTTTAAAATAATCAACCTCTAACTTAATCTGTTTCAACTTGTCAGATTAGATACTCAGTAATAACAAAGTTTTGCTTATTTAATCTTCATGACAGCTCGTCAAAAACAAATGAGTTGATCAAAAATTAACATTTTAATGGCAGTTTATTTGCATTAAACTGGGAAATAAAAACTCCTACTGACATTATCATGTCAGTTGTTAAAGCTGCAGTAGGTAACTTTTATAAAAACATGTTTTTTAAACATATTTATTAAAATTATTACTATGTTGACACCGTACATTATAAGTGAGATAATATGTGAAAAAAAAAATCAAGCTCCCAGTCCTCCCTGTACCAACTGCAGAAATACACCACTCAGTCAGAAACAACCAATCAAAGGCAAGAGGCGTGTCCTAGTGCTGTCAATCACTCTTATGCTCACCCTCTCTCTCTTTGCTCTCTACTAGGCTACAGCTGCTATGCCACAACATAACCTGCCACGAATGCTGACGCTAGTTAGCATGAACACCTTGACCTTGGATAGCTGGTTTTCCTGTAGCAGTTATTTGTTTCTCCACCATTCGCACATTAAGTAGCACACAGGAGATTGATTGACAGCACTAAGACCCTCCTCCTTGCTCTGATTGGTTGCTTCCTATTGGGAGCGGTGCGTTTCTGGAGACCAATATGGAAGCAGAAGAGGTTGAATTTTTTCAGAGATTATTTGTCTCATACAGATTATTTGTCTCATATTTATTTTCATATTTTAATAAAAAAAAAAAAAAAAAAAAAAAAACATTTTTGTCAGAGTTACATACTGCAGCTTTAAGAAGTTAGGCTGCATTGTGATCTGTAATTACGACGTATTCAAAAACAGGATATGCTGACTAATGCATGGCGACAGGATGTATATATTTATTCAGTTTATTTCAATAAAAACAAACAAAGAACAAGAAACTTCCACTGGTAATGACTAAACTCAGTCGCTGTCGCATTACAGCATCAAACATCTGCTGTTTTGGGTGTGAGCCGCTGTTGGTGTCTGTTTCTATGTGTCGTGTGTGTGTATGCGTGTGTGTGTGTATGCGTGTGTGTGTGTGTGTGTGGGTGTGTGTGTGTATGCGTGTGTGTGTGTATGCGTGGGTGTGTGTGTGTGGGCGTGTGTGTGTGTCTGTGGGCGTGTGTGTGCGTGCGCGTGTGTCTGCACCAAGAGTCAAAATTAGGAGGGCCAGTGTTTACACTATACTGGCAAATAAATCTGACCTTCTCACTTTATTCCTGCTGAAAGCGTCAGATAAAGCAACACTTCTATCCTGAGCTTAACAGCGCTGGTCACCTTGTTGACAGGGTTAAACGGAAAGAACAGCAGAAATCTGTTCCTTTTCATATTTTACACGGTGTCAGCAGCCTGGGCTTAGAAAACACTTTAGATATTCATCAATCAAACAAGAAACCATGCAGCACACAAGCTGATTATGAGACGATGAGCCCTTGGGCACAGGCTCTTTAAAGACCCCTCCCCCCTTAAGCAGCAAATTAAATTGCTTTGTTAATTATACTGTAGGCTTACAGTAACATTTGTGTGGAATTTACTGCACAGCTGTGTTGTGTAGGAATTAATGAACAAATGCATTATTAAAATGTGAAATCAGCTCACTGTTCTGCAGATACTTATTAGGATTTCGCTTCATTAGCGATGATATTTTTTGCACGTTCCCTCTGCTTATTTGCTTATTTGTCTATAATAAGATGAGCCGGTCCAAGGGCTCTCTGTGTACCTCTGCTCAGCAACTTTCCCTAATCCAAGGCTGCACTTATTAAGTTTGTTTTTCTTTTAATAAACTTAGCATGAAGAGCTGCTGGAGACGCCAAAGGGCCAAAGTCAATAAACAAAAGAAGCTCGACTTTGAGTGTTTCACCTCCATCACCTCGAACAGACTCACAAAGAGCAATGAATGTAAGGTTCATGAGTGTAAGCATCCACATCTAGCATACGTGATTGGATAGGAAGTATTGCTGTGCTTGATAACAGTCATTGCCAATAATTTTGTTCTTATAACAAATACAGTCATTATCTGAAAACTGCTTTACGTATTTAATCTGGTTCTCTTTGTATGTTAGGGAACATCTGAATGTGAAATAAGACACTCAGTTCTTCTTTTTCATACAACTGTGTCTGGTTTAGATAGAAGCACCTCACATTTTTTCCCTTTTTTTCGTTTCAACTTCGTGGGAAATAAGCAACTAAATCACAGGCCTTGTTTTTTCTGCTGAATGTGAGAAAAGAAAACAATTGTGTTCAAACTGAGCATTATTGTTGAACTACAGAACATTCACATTTGTCACAAAAGTAAAACCAGTTCTCATGACGTACAGCCATTTCAGAGACAAGAGTGAAAACCTCATCATTTCCAAAAGGATGACCATGAACTGAAAGGCGGGCGACACGGCTGGATGTGTGCAGGCTGGAGAATATTATTTCTGGAAAATTCATTCCCTGCAAATGTTGCAGTCTCCAACAATATGCCCTAAATGCTCTTTGTCCTCCAAAAAACCTAATAACTATGACATGCCACTAACTGTGACAAATGTTATGGCTCTTTCATTGGCCTGCAAGTGAACAAATGATAATTGTGGCAAATACATGCCTCCCAGCTTCTATAATTTTGAAAAGATCAGAGCAGCTGCAAGTTCTCAGTCCTCCACTCATAAGCCATGGTTAGGTAAGAAACCAGAAACTGAAAAGATTTTGAAATGGTGAACAGAGAAAGAGGAAAAAAAAAAAAACATTGCGTACCTTCAGGTAAAATCTAGTAGATGCTCTGATTCTGATTATTTTATTTGACTGGAATCTTTGAAAAACTGAAACACCTCAGACTGAATGTTTTGCTGTTTCCATGTTGTCTTGCTAAAGTATTTGTCCACCTTAAACATTTCCCATATTAAAACCTCAAACTTCAGTGTAAGTACAATGAGAGTTTCTGACACACAGCAGTGCATAATTGTGAAATTGTGAAAAGAAAATATTTCAGGGATTTTAGAAGAACCCTTTGATACAAATACATCTGCAGCTTGTTGGTATGTCTCAACCATCTTTTCACATCTATATACCAACAATCTTTGGCGTATTTGTTTCTCAAGCAACTGAGTGTCTTATTTCACATCTCAAGCTACGTCAGATTGGAGGGAGAGGATTTGGGAACCTTAATTTTGAAGTCCTGCCACAGATTAGATGCATGTGTCATCTGGTTTCTGCTCCTTCGCTTTCTGACTGCCTACACGTCACATTCAACAGGCTGCGTTCCCATTTGTCCTTGGGGAACAACACACACACTGAATATCTCCAATTTGATGTCTGAGCGCTCCTGATGTCCTTGTGAGTGGACCGGTTCACTCTTCACACACCAAACCCGGTGGGAATATCTCTTTAGTTTATCTATAGAGCCATCCAGATAGTCCTTAAGATTTCTAGAAGGGGAGATTCAGAACAAGCATCTTGTTGTGTGAACCAGGCATAAAACATGATTAGATTGTGAGCCTCTGCAGTTCACATAGTACATCGAGGACAGGATGGACAACTCCAGTCGAGATCCAACACTTCTGAATCAAATTATCGAATATTCTCAGTATGCAGACCTCGTCTCAGATTCCTGCTAACCATGTAATTATTCGACTCAGATGTGTTGAAGCAGGAACATACCGAGAAGTTGCAGGACAGGACTGGAGTTGTCCATGTCTGGTTTAGGCTCCTTGCCCTGCTGGAAGATGAAGCTTTGCCAGACTCAAGTCTCATTCCAATATTCTAACCCCATTAATTCTGACTGACTCTGTGAAAACATCACATTTATGATCTGCTCAGTTTTGGTATTGTCTATTTGGAGGTCTGTCTTTCATAAATTTTTGTAGAAGACAAAAATTCCACAAATACTGCAAACCAGGCATACAGTGGCTTTCTTTCAACAGTGGCTTTCTTCTTGCCACTCTTCAATTAGGCCAGATTTGCAAAGTGCAACAATCCCTGTTGAAAAATGGATCTTTTTCTGCCCTCCATCCAGAATTAAAGCTGGCCACTGGACTGCTTCCTCTCATTGTCATTTTAAGTTGGTAATGTCCTGGCAGATGTATGTTCTTGCTAAACTTTTTCAATTTGCAGATTTTGGCTTAAACAGACCGCTGTGAGATGTTAAAAGCTCGAGTTTCTTAGTTTATGTGAGGCTGTTTTCTCTCCAGAGTTTAAATCACCAATCAGGTGATTTCTAAACATAACTGCATTAAAACCGATTTAAGCGTCAGAGTGTTTATATATACATTCAAGCTTTTGGATCGTTATATATAAAAAAGTTTGAGGCTGTAATAAGACAAAATGTGCGAGGCCCGGCCCTCTGCTGGTGTTCAGAGTTGATTGGTCTCATCCGCAGCTGGTTCAGACCAAATCCACTCTGCTGCGCGGCAGGATGAAGGAAACCTCTGTGTGCCTCGTTAGAGTCGGCTGACTCACCTGCTTGTGATGGTGGTCGTAGGAGTTAATGTGGTTCTCGTACTGCTGCTGTCTCACGTATTGCTTGTTGCAGAGCTCACAGTAAAACCTGGAATCTCCTTCATCCTGCAGAGCGACAGAGAGGCAGACAGGAAACAAGAAAACTGTTTTATTAGATTAATTTGACTTTGATTTTTGGTGTTGAGTATTTTTGTAAATATCTAGAACTTAAGCATGAAGCAGCTCCTTTTCTCTATGGAGGGATTCATAACTTAACAGTTCACCCCATCATGTCATCATATGACATTACACCAAATATTTAGATTTATTAAGCATACATTAGCATAAAATATTAGCTGTATGCACATTAAATGTCTCCATGGTAACAAGTCCGAATTCAGCTGGATGGACTAGCAGGCTAACAGCTAACATTCTCCCACTTGATGCTAAGTGACTGACTGATTTAAAACCCAGTCCACTAATGAAAGTAGCAGGAAGTACTATGGATATATTGGCTGCTATGGAGACTGAACAGGACATTGCTAACAGGTTGGCAGACATGATGGATGAGCTTGTTTATTTTTCTTTCATTCAAAAATGAAAGAAAAATAAAAGACAGCTATTAAGCTTTTAATATCATGACAAAAAAATATTTCAGCAAAAAAATATGATTTTTAATTCTATACAGTGTTATGAAAATATCTGTAAGCCAACAGATTTGAACTGTTATCACAATATAATTTTTATTTTTTTAGCACCAGGAGAGACAGAAAAATAAACACTGACTGTTTCTTCTGACTTCTCTACATCATGACGCTGAACATTTTGGATGCCAGTAAATTATATTTTGGGATTTAATGCGACAGTATCTACTTAGTTAAAGAGCCTGATTTATTTAACATGAGCTCAGTTCGCTAAGTGAGACTGGCTCTCCGCTTCCAGAACATTTCTGGGTTAAATCAGATTTTTTTCATGACAGCTACTGACCAGTCATACTTTAAAAATGGAAACAGACTACAGGCATACAAAATATAATTGGAAGTCTTTGGACATCCTTTCTTTGTAAGAGGTTTTTATTCAATTTTAAAGCTAATTCCAAGCTGATGCAACCTACATTAATATTTGCTTTCAAACAATACCCACACATGGAAGCAGATGGTTTTGGACCAAACAGGAAGATGGAGACAGAACCACGAGACATGAAGTGAGACTGAACAAGTCTGGACCAAATATGACCGGTGAAATAAACTCTGAAAACTACCCTTCACATCCTGTTTGGATAATTATAAATCATGACTCTGTCTTGGAGTTAGTCATGAAATTAAAATGAAAACAAAACTGTGTAGGTGGGATGGGTGAGTTACAGTCAGAGGCAGCATATGCAGTGAAATGTGTTTATGGTGATGTGTATTCATCTTACTCACGCTTTTAATTTGTTACCTGTCATATGGAATGAGTGGATGTGTGTGTAGGTGTGTGTGTGTGTGTGTGTTCAGGTCTTTCCCATATACGCTGATGGTGTCTCTTAGGCTTCCAGTAGCTAATGGGTTCTTCAATCACAACTACTGACCAGCGAGAGGATGAACAAACAAAAAGAGAGACAGATGCCTGCAGTTCCACAGAGGAGTTTACCATCCATCCATCCATCCATCCATCCATCCATCCATCCATCCATCCATCCATCCATCCATCCATCCATCCATCCATCCATCCATCCATCCATCCATCCATCCATCCATCCATCCATCCATCCATCCATCCATCCATCCATGTTTAGTTTAGAACAGATCAGAAATATTCTTTATTGTCCCAAAGTGAGAACAGTTTGCTGTGGGAGGTCAAGCTGTGAACTTTGGAAACTAGGTCTCAAAGGCGGAGCTAGGTTCAACCAGGCATTTTGCACAGCTGAATGGTTGCCATGGAGATTAAAAAAATTTCTCAAACATGCACGAATGAATTAAGGCAACACTCCAGGTAGTTTGGATGAGGAAATAACATTATAACATGATGTAAAGCACAAAAAAGTCAACTTTACCTAATAGTTGGCTTTTAGTGGACGAGCCTTAAGCCTGTCCAGCTGCACTCAGCCATCCACATCCAGTTATTCCTTAGCAACTGTTTCCATTTTCACTGTCATTGAAGACCTGCTGACCCATCATCTTCATAACCATCATCATGTCAGTAAGAACCTCACAGTCATGAAGAAAACACCCACTGGCATCAGATCAAAATATGATCATGAAATTATCAGCGTGATCTTTTGCTCTCCATTTGTTTCACAGCCTGAATAGTTAAAGACTAATGCTCTATTGAATTAGGAGAAGAAAAATCAGCCTACACACTCCAACATAGAACTGGCGAACATTGCTCAGGCAGAAAATATTAAATCAAACTCGGCTTCACCGATTATATTTTTTCTTTCCTGAACTCACTCAAGGTCTTCTCTGAATATTTGGACAATCCTGAAGCTTCTGACAAACTCACAGCTGATGGAAGACAGATTCATCTTTAACAGTTAGCAAAAAAATAAATTAAATAAAACTAATCTGCAACTTAACCTTCAGTTAAGTTGCCTTTTTTGTGTCAGAAAAACGAACTTGAAGCTTTCAGAGAGGAAGAACCTCGGACTAAATAATGATAAAGAACAAATCGAAGCAAAGGGCAGAAGAAACCAGCTGTTTAATCTGCCCACCATATTTCAGTCAGCATTAGCTCCTCAGACTAGTGACTACAGCATCTACTGTAATCCCATTAAGCATCAAATTTATGTTGCATTATTCTATTACCAAACGAAACATTACATTTGCAGTATTTAATCAGGGATGGCATTGCTTTGCATTATGTCATTAAAGATGTCGTGGGGTTGCATTAGATGGCTCTCCGTGTCCATTAAACATGGCCAGCTGGGCGGCTTGGAAATTGCTGCTCAGTAATCTCAAAATTAAAACACATTACAGCTTAGGAGCTTTTTCTGCGCAGCCTTCACTGTGAAACCAACAGGACGGGTTGGCTTGTTGCCACGAGGAAATCGTAATTTATTTTTCTGTTTATTTTTATTTTTTTCAACCAGCTGAGGGGGAGATTTGAGGAAGGGTTTGAGGAAAATTGTCTGACCTATGGTGTGAATGAATTTTTCAAAACCCACAGGAGCGACTCTCTGATGTACAGCTGAGGAGAAAAACTGACCCCCTGAAGCCAGGCAGTTTACCAGCTTTCACTGAAAGTGTGTGAAATGACCTCTGAAAGCAGCTCGTTGTCTCACTGACCTCTTCAAACGTATTCACTTGTGAAACCTTAGATGCAATCCACAGCTGAACGTTCTACCAATTAGCTCAAATTACAGCCAGATTAGCAGAAAACAACGGTTCATTTTTTTAGGGTTGGGAACGTTCAGGCAGTGACACGTGATTAATCTGAACATTTTAACACCCTAATGTTATGTGATGCAGATTAATCTAACTACGATGTTGATCTAAAAGCCTCTCTCCTGCGGAGGGATACCAGCTCACAGCAGCTGGTCATCGGCTCCACTCTAACGGAGACAAACGACAGCGAAACCTGAACGTTTTCCACAACACAAACAGCAACAACAGTTGAAAAATGTTCAGTTTCTTGTGTTGTGTCGTAGTGTGCACTTCGACGTGTAAAGCCCAAAATTTCACAAGCATGAATCATTCTGGTCACTCGGCTGGATAAGGACCAGCAGCTGTCGCCTCGTCCAGAATTAATGAACAAGGAACATTTTTAAAGTAATGTGTCAAACAAAATGGCTTTCTTTAAACCTTCCTGAAAGGTTCCTGAACATGTCTGAAGTATCTCACATGTGAGATACTTCACATGTGAGAAGTATCTCACATGTGAGATACTTCAGACATGTTCAGTTTGAGACAGTGAAACAATTTTTGACAATGTACAAACAGTGGCGGTTTTTGAAATGGGCAGTTGCCCATGCCGGCATCAAAAAGGGGCGGGGCAACCAAGAACTAGGAAATAAAATATCTTCTCTAGTGTAGTAGGTTCCATGTAGTTACTGTTAAAACTACATTACCTGATTTCTGATTGAAAAAAAAAAAGACAACAACAAACAGATAATAATTGAATTGGTAACCAGAGCATCACTCACAAACCACAACTACTCTATATTTATACTTCAGGCTTACAAAGTTAAGCATACTGATTAAACGTGATTGATCACATCCTGTCAACCCTGATTTGACTTTATTAGTCTTTTTTCTTTTATGTAGAATAACTGCAAAGAATGCAGTACTGGCCTAGTCAAAGAATTATGCTGATTTTTCTGCCACATCTGGTGACACCAAACTAGAAGCTGAGGTTTTCACTTTGACTCTGTTGTCACCCCAAATAAATAATATTAGATAAAGAGAGGAGGAGAGGAGCATCAAATAATCTAAATTTTAGGATGTCTTTCTCAGCTCAATATCTTGAAATGTATTACTTTTGTTGAAACAAAGCTGGCGGCTGTAACTAATTTGATTTTCCGTGTCTTGTAACTGGCTTGATAAGTCTGAAGTGTGAAGTGAAGCCGCTCGGCAGCCTCGCCGAGCGGATCCTGTAAATGGTTTTCATACTGACAGATCTCCCTTCCCGCACCTCCCTCAGGGTTATGTTCTTTCTCCAAGCTTGTACTTTCTTAACACTAATGACAAACTGCAACCACCATGAAGACGGACGCTTTTATCAAGTGGACGGAGGAAAAAAGATGGAGAAAATGATGCAGGCTCTGCGCTGATCGCTCTGTTCTGTGATGCAGTCATTTTTGCTTTATGGCAAAAATGAGGGAAAAGGTCACAGCCTCCTTTTGATTCTTTGTCTGGGAAAGATAAGAAAACCCAATAGTTGCTTATCTTTTGGCTGCATGTTAAGATAATTACATCAGTGAGGCCCTGCAGTGTCCATTTCTCCCACTGTGAATTAGTTTCTATTGCGGTTTTGCCACAGAAAATGAATAAAAACAGATATTTGACAAAAATTTCTTATGAAAAGATGACACACAATAATCCAAAGACTCACTACAGGGATTGTGATAGTCTCTGAACCACATTTCAGATAATATAATTTCTGCAGTTTAACTGCCTAATTGCCAATTTGGCTCTGAAAACTAAGCG